TCTTTAAGGTGGTCTGTAGTGGGGAAGAGTTGGGAACTTTTGCTCTATCTTTTGGCCTCACTGTAAAACCAGGGAGGGTGGTGAGTTTTTACCCTATACAGTCGTACCTTGGTTCTTGAACATCTTGGTACTCGGATGTTTTGGCTCCCGAACACCGCAAACCCAGAAGTGAGTGTTCCAGTTTGCAAACGTTTTTCAGAAGCTGAACATCCGACATGCTTTCCGCGGCTTCTGATTCAGTACAGGAAGCTCCTGTAGCCAATCAGAAGCTGTGCCTTGGTTTTTGAACCGTTTCAGGAGTTGAACAGACTCCTGAACAGATTAAGTTTGAGAACCAAGGTACCACTGTACAATCTTATGAAACCACAGATATGTATGCCACAATAAACATTTTTAGCTAGGATAGCCACATATCACCAAGAGAGAGGACAAAAGAGGGCACAGGTTCACAAGCATTTATCATATCCATAGGTTAAAAAATCAAATTTAGAAATAACGATTACTATAAATAGAAACACAATATTTCTCAGCATAGTGCAGTAGGCTAATGAGATTATTTGCATGCTTGCTCAGTCTACTGTTCAAGTTAATTGTTCAAGGTGTCTGCTCTGCATTCTGAAAGTTATTTATCAATAACCCATAGTTGGACTAGTTTAATAGAGGACCATCTTCGGTAAAGAAGGACACATGGCTATTCTTTTTGAACAAACTCTATTCCTTTGGAGTTTGTCACATCAGCATAAGTCATTGCTATGTAATCCAAATAACTGATAGCTCACTAAGTCTAAGTAACCCTAGATAACCAAAAGAGATAGTAGTTCTCACAGACTATTTGCAGTGTCATTTTTGACAGGTTATTTAAGAGAAGAAGCCAGGACATAAAGCTAACTGGACAGAAGACTAACTTGACTGCTAAGATCCAACAAGAGGAGCAGCACTTGCATAGCTGGCTGACACTGTACCCCCTATGTTTGGAATCGCCACATTCAATCATTTGTTATGGGGAGCTTAGGGCACACTACTCAGGAAGTGAGACAAGAACTTATAGAGGAACAGGTACAAGAAACTCCTGACTCAACCTGGATACAGCTCAACCCACCTAGCATGACAGTTTCCCATTTCTGGTTTACTACTTCCCCAAAATGTTTTATAAGGTAATACTGTTATTGCCATGGCTTTCCAGTTTCTATCATTCAAAACGAAAGAACTGAGTTTGTTAAGACCTCCTAGTTGATAGAAACAATCAAAGTTAAGTGGGAAATTCACTACAAAAGGATGCCCATGAAATGATCACTTCTATTTCAAATAAGATCTCGCACCCTCCACAATATCTCGTGTGATTTTGGAAAGATCCTGGTGGAAATGGGCAGGCGACACCTCAGGGGCTTCTGATGCCCGAGGCAGCTGCCTCACCCTGCCTAATAACTGCACCGGCCCTCCCTCTCCTTGCACTTCCCCAAAATCTGCTCCAGATGGTTGGGTAGAAAACAAATACAAACTTGGCAGGGGCACACAGGGGAGGAGAGGGGGAAAAGTTCTATTTCACAAGCACAAGTCTTTGAACTAATCAAATTGTTGCATACAACCCAAAATTTCCAAAGTCTATCTCTGAATTCAACACATTTAAAAAATGCAAAACTTTGAAAGCAGCAACACTATCCCTATAGCTTCTCTTAGCATTTGTTTGACTATCTGTAGAAACTGGAAATAATAATAATAATAATAATAATAATAATAATAATAATAATAATAATAAATGGTTTAGTTGAATGCAACACTAAGATATGGATCAGCAGAAAAATGCTGCACAAAGCAAGTATTTTCCAAATACTATAAGGCATGTATAACACATACAGGGGAAATATATTTTATCTAGGACACAGCAGTACTAAAAATACACAGTTTTAATCCTGGATGAGGATTAAAGTTCTTTATAACAAAAAAGAGAGAGAAAGAACAGATTACATCCATCTCTAATAATCATGTTGTTTTCAGGAAATTATTCTGCTATTATACAGGTTCTCCTTAATAAACAAAAACTGCAAATAAATTTAGCCAGTAGTGAATATTGAAAAGTCTACTCATTTATCAATCTAACAGTGGAATCATAGCCATGTCTACTCAAATATACATCCAATTCAATTCAGTGGGGCTTATTCCCAGGTAAGTTTGGCTGTATACAGTGGCCTGGGATTAAGCCCCATTGAAGCTAATGGGATTTACTTCTGAGTAAACATGCATAGGATTACACACACTGTAATCTTATAATGGCAAATGACATGGGAAAATGCACATTCATGTAAATTAGAAGTGGCCAGGTTTTTTTCTCCAGATGATTAAAGTGGTGTTCCTACTCCAGAGACAAAAGAAATAAAGTGATATTTGCTAGCCATATCCAACACATAATATCTTTGATCTCATCTTGCTACAGCATTGTTATCTGCACAAAGTACAGTCATTTCACTACTGATCAAATTGATGATCCTTAGCACTTCTTGCTAACTTCTAATTATGAAGCCCAGACCTTCACATTAACCAAAAAAGGAGCCTGCCCTTTGGCCAGCAATGATTGCATACATGCCCTAGAGGTGAGCAATCAGAAGTCACATGCTTCAAACAAGTAGTCCAACTCAATTGTTTGTTTCATGCCCCTTAAACAGCATGGTTGGGTCCCCAGCCTGGTGTCACAATTGACCAATTGTACAGTATTATCTTTGAAAGCTAAACACGTTTGGAAACCTGGGCGATACTTATCAAACCCCAAGAGGTGATCCGTGTGCAAGCTCCCTTTTAAAGTGAGGCTTCTCACCATCAGAGTGCACATTTCTAGAGCCACGAATGGATCAATAGCCAAGATTTGCCGCTGGTTTTGAGACTAAAGCCTTGACCATCTGGGCACTGATTAGATGATGGCATTTGGATTTGTGCCTTTTCCTCTCTCGGGACACTTTCGTAAATACAGTGACTATGTTAGCATCTCAGAATACTGTGGCCTACAAACTATTAATTGTAAATCACTCTGCTTAAGACAGCAAAACAAAGCAGCACATTTTCAGAGGCGCTTAACTGAATAGCATCAATTAATACATTCAGCTGAACAGGTGTGGCTTGACAAGAGGATGTCTTAAGGCAGAAGTAGTCAACCTTTTTATATCTACCACCCACTAATGCATCTTTCTTGATGGTAAAATTTCCTTACCACCCACCAGTGCTCGATGGAAGGAGGATTCAGCTTATGCCATAGAAACGCCCCCCCTACTGCCCACCTAGAATCTTGAAACGCCCACTAGTGAGCGGTAGGGACCAGGTTGACAACCCCTGTCTTAAGGCAATGACGTCTGCATATGTACTGAAGATGTAGGATTGCTACATGTAAACGAAGGAAACTGGTGGAGATCTAAAAGAAAAGGCGTCTAGGCAGATTCTGGTTAGCAGAAACAGCTCCAAGCACATGTCCAAAGTGAAGGTGATTTAATGCGCAGTATATATCCAAATTATTTTAATACCAGTAGTTATTAACTCCTTGCAAACATCAACGTATGTAGGTTGGGATCCAAAGAACCCCTTCAGTGCCTTTCACGTGTATGCTAAGTGATCCTGTTCCATCTGCCACGACTGCCAACAATATGTGTGTTGAAGAGAGCATCTGAAGCTGCCTCAAGTTTTGGTGTTGTCTTATGCGTACTTTCATAAAGAAAGGCCCAGATGCACCAGTGTTTCAGTGGGTCCTCATTCTAGTTATTCGGCTGTGATCTCAGAGATCTCAGTTCATTTCAGTTAAACTGGCAGCCCAATCCTAAATATGTTTTCTTCAAGGATTAAGTTCCACAAAGCTCAACAGGTATTGCTTTCTGAGAAGTATACTTAGGTTTATAGCTCAAGGTATATACATTCATACTTTTTTCTGTCCCAAATTTAAGAGGGGGGAATTAATCTGCTCCTGGTTAATCCCTAAACAGCGTATATTTTCAACTTCCAAGATGCCATGTTACACAGCAATGGTCTTCCATGGTAACCATTTTCTGCGTTTGGCCAACACATATAGCTAAGAAATTTGGCTACTAATTTAGAATGAATAAACTGACTAAAATGAAATGCCCATCTTCTGAAAGTCCAACCACTCCCTGAACCTTAAAAAGGGATATTAGTCCTCCCGCACAAACTGCTATTCACATTGCGTCAATAGAACCTGAATTCTTTAGAAGCTTCCCATGAGCTCTCAAAAGACGAGTTGCCTGCCGTAGTGACTAGAATGGGGATGGGGCTGATGGGAGTTTTAGTTCAAAAACACTTAGAGAGTTGCAGATTCTCCATCTTGGTTCTACAGTGTGCACTCAATTTTCATGAGGCATCTTCATTAACCTTTTAAATTTTATTTTCCCCACACCAACAGGCATATTGAGGAAATAAGAAAGGTGATTTTTAAACATTCATATTACATGCCATATGATTTGCAGAGAGAGTAGATGTTTAGAAGTACATATTGGACTTTTCTTTTTTTAAAAAAATAAAATAAAATATTATTGGTTAGATTTCCCAGAAAATCTACCTTAAAAAAATAACGTTCACAGTGTAATGGTTTGAATATCTATATATGTGATTTGACAATTAAAGTCATTTACAGCAACAAAGTTAAAAACCAGAATTAGATACCTTTCAATTTCACAAAGAAATAACTTTACTACTATTCCCTGTCAAATTATGAATTTGATATATTGATTTCCTATGTAATGTAAAAAGAGGTTGTAATAAATAATATTTCTTCCTCCCAAAGCATTACCTGCATGTTCTACTGCTATGAAAAATACAAATTTATAATAGGAAAAGCTGTTTAGCTACTGTGCTTAAAAGTTTGCAAATATATATATATATATATATATATATCCATCCTCAGTTTAGTATCTGGATTTTACAACCGAACATTTAGTCAAAATAATTTGCATTAATTGGTTTCACATAAAGAACACTGTAATAATATATGAAGAAATATGGATTCTAACCACTTTGTCCTCCTTTGGGAAAGCATTCCAGGGAAGCAGAAAAAGGAGAAAAATATAAAAGAAAGAGAGGTAAGAAAAAGGAGGAAAACATCAATAGGCAGATATAAACAAGGCAATTCTTGTGTTCCTGTAAGCATAAGATTTACCAACAATGAAACACAGCACGTTTAAATAAAAATATCTATAGCACCACACACATACGGGCTGATACCTGAAGGATTTTAGCAGAAAATAAAATAAAAAATAGTGAAATGGATACATCAGGATTCAATACTCCAGTTTTGATGTAATAGCTGAGATCCAAAGGGCTGTGAGCAACTGGTAGTACTACTACCAGTACTACTGGTAGGAGGAATTAAAAATCCACAGGGTGGAAATGGAAGCACTTTCCCCTCACACATAAGAATTTTGGATTGTTTCATCCCCACTAGAAGCAATATGGCTCCCCCATTGGACTCTGCAACGTGTAAAGTACAGTGGGTGGTCTCCAGTGTCGTCCTACTCAGTGTACATCCATTGAAATGAAGGAACACCACCAACTTAGGTCCATTAATTCCAAAAGGTCTGCTCTAACTATTACTTAGTTGTGTGAACAAGCATGTGACACTACTTTCTATAAATGTCATTGGCAACTGCACAAGAGCATATACAATTTTCAGGGTGTATAAATCAAAGTAGCTTTTCTACAATACTAATGCAGAATTCCATGAGAAAAGCATTATTATAGCTTGTCACTGTGTCTGTCACAATCATTTTCAAGTGAAAAAAAATAATAGGTCCCCTCTTTTATTTATTTCTGAAATTGATTTTGCACAAACAAAACATGGAGCGAGGAATTCAGAAAACAAATATATAGAGTGAGCAAAACAATGAAGTTCAAGGAGTTGGGGTGTGGAAATAAGAAAAGGAAACCAATGCCAAAAAAAAAAAAAAATCTGCACAGGTAGGATGTTCTAGCGATGGAAATCAACATTGCTTTGTTTTGCATGCAGTAGAAAACTTACATTGTTTGATCGCAGAGAAACACGTCCTCCACATCTGGCACAAAACTTTGTCCGGCAGTAGGAGCATAAATGGCCACAACCATCGGCAAACTTAGTTTTGTGACAGATTCCACATGTTGGCGCATCGTCCTTGTGCTCTCCGTGGTAACGGCGGGATTCCTCACCTATTTTTCGGACTTGCTCTTTGTAACTTTCAAATTGTTGGTGCAATCTTCTGTAAGGAAAAGAAGGGTTTTTTTATATAGCAAAAGCACCAAGACAAGCTCACCCATCAAGTGCCTAGCACTAATCCACACTATGCGTGTCTTCACTATATTTGCTAAACAGAAGCATGAATACAGGTGCCACTCTTGATTATTTGAAAGGAAAAACAAACAGCGGGATTATTTATCTATTTATTATGCACACTTCACCCTGAGGTACCAGCAACTTAAAGCAACTTTTAACTGCTCATATTGGTTTCTTTAACATAAGCCAAGCAAGCTGCTTTTTATGCAAACAATTACCAATAAAATCTCCTATTTCCATTACAAATAAAGGTCACTTATAGATTTCAGAAGAGTCCCAATACTGTGTACGACCAACACAGATGCCTGTGCTTTTGCCAGGACGTAGAAACCTCAAAAAAGTTATTTGATAATAGCAAATGCCATACAAAGAAAAACCCTTCCTCTTCTTAGGTAAATTTACCTGAAGTCACTGTCCAAACTGATTATTACTTTCAATTTAATAAAACGTAGGTTCTCTCCCCTTAAAGATTTTCATAAGTGCTCTGTCATCATTTCATCCATAACATTTTCAAAGTGAAAGCTGTCACACGCACCACCAGTCTCACTCGCTGCTATGTCAAACAAAATTTTAAAAATGTATAGCTGAATAATACACTTTTTGATTTAACCCATTAACTGCTGTTATGGCTGAAACCAATCATAAGCTGCAAATTGCAAGCCGTCCAAAAATTCTGGAAGAAGCACTATCATATGTGCAACTGTGGATGAAAATATTTAAGTACAAGTGGCTCTTAAAACAAAGCGATGCAGTGTGTCTCTGCCCTTCTCGCAGCTCCAGCCAGCCTACAAGAGCCTTGCAGTGTGGTTCAGATCTCAGGGTGGTGAGTGGTGGTGAGTTTCAAGAATGGGGAAGGTATAAAGGGCACCTTTTTCCCCTACCCCAGGCTTTCCTTGTTGTGCTGCACAGTTATACAGGGTTGATAGAACCAAATCTCGGCAATTTGAAATTATAAATCAGGCATAGGCAAACTCAGCCCTCCAGATGTTTTGGTACTACAACTCCCATCATCCCTGACCACTGGTTCTGTTGAATGAATGAATTTATTAATACGGTCACAGACCAGCGTCAACACACACAATATCACAGATCATAAAAAATATCAGAAATACAAGGGACAATATGAATATAGCAAAGATTTAAATATAAAAATTAAAATTAATTGTTAGCATGCCCCCTGTAATTAGCAATTAGGGGTTTATGCATTATGGGATACCACTTGCTTCCTGCGATTGATTGCAGACGCACAGAATTTAGCTACATTTAGTGTAGTCTTGGGATTCTTGTCCTCTAGCAGTAGTTTTAAACTATGGTATACCGATTCTTTCCTGGACTTTTGCAAAACAGGTGCAATAAAAGTCAAACGTATATCCTCATAAAGACAACAACGTAATAGAACATGTGAAGCAGTTTCAACTTCCAACGAGCCACAAGGACAGACCCGTGCTGTATATGGTTTACCCTCAAATCTGCCCTGAAGTAAGGCAGAGGGGAGAACGTTAAATCTGGCGAGGGTAAAAGACCGTCTGTATTTGGGTACCTGAAGACCTGACAGGTAGTTAGCTGGAGAGAAACCTCTCCCCTGGTCCCTTATTGCTGGATGTTTGACCATTTCGCTCATGTGGCATTGTAATTCTACGTCCCAGATACGCTGGCGAATTGTAGTCCTAGCTTTCTCGAAGCCTGTCGCTATCAGGGTCTGCTGTGGGATCCCCAAACCTTTAAGCTTTTCCAGCAGTGTAGCTTTCCATCTGGATTGGTAGGTATCTAATAAGGTTAAAGGTGCCAGCCCAACCGGGAAGAAAATAAGCTTTAGCCAATAATGGATCTTCAATATCCATATCCGAGTACTGATAAGCATTTGCCCAACCTCCAAACGGACCGCTAAGTTAGACACGCAGGAGGGGATCCCCAGCAGGCAGCGGAAAAACTTACTTTGGAATGCCTCTAAGAGAGTAAGGTTTTTAAAGCTGCAGATCTGGGATCCATATAGCAATTGTGATAGTATTTTGGCAGCAAAGACCTGGGAGGCTGCCAGTATGTATTGGCCCCCTTTCCCATAAAAGAACTGGTTCTGTTAGCTAGGGATGATGGAAGTTGTAGTACCAAAACATCTGGAGGGCCGCGTTTGCCTCTGCCTGTTATAAATAATATTCTGAAGATGGGAAAACTATCCCTCCACTTTATTTACATCTTCTCTCTCAATCCATTTGCCCTGTTGTCATCATCTATCAGGCAGGTTTTGTTTTTTAAAGTCACTTCCTTTAATTCACAAACTTTTGCACTTCTGTACACCTAGGTAGGGCATCCCCCGTGTATGTATGCAGAAGTGCCTGCCTTATTTTTGAGAGGCTTTCTTTTTGCTTAAAACAGTCGCCCAGCAGATGGCACCAGAGATTGCAATTTCACATAGCCATCATCTGTTCAGTTTTAAAGAACTGAGGTTTCCTAGAAGCAAGTGCCTTTAATTTTGTGGTAACAACGGCCTTATCTTCTGTTAAAAATCTCTCTTTATAAATGTAAGAATATTTGTGTACATGAAATGAGTATTTGCCTGTTCATTTGTCCGCTCAGCTTGTGACAGGAGTGTGCAAAACGACAGCTTCTGTTCACAACGAATCAGTCAGGTAACCACCATCATGTTAGGATATTCACAAGGAAACTAGATAGCCACAACCAGGCCCTAAGATCTAATATCTGGTGCATTCCACTGGTGTACACAGAAGGAACCATCCCTAGCATTTGTTTTCCGTTTCTAATTTTACGTCAAAACCAGCCTTTCAATATAAGTCCAGCCTGGTGTAAGAGTTTCTATAGGAGGAAGAAAGACTGAATGAGATACCCGGTTTTTGTGGGGAAAGTATTTTTATAGTTCTTGAGCAGAACGAAACACAGGGAGCAGATGAAGAGCACAACTTCTACAATGTTTTGTGAGTCTCTTTGCATATAACAATAGTTCATATTAAGCCCACTGATGTTTTTTGGGACTTGTTTACATAGCGAATAAACAATCCACACACAAATGCTGAAAAATACCTAGTTGGTGTAATGGTTAGAGCCAACTGAACTGATGAGACTTCAAATTGCCACTGAGCCAGTCACCATCTCCCAGGCTAACCTACCTCACAGGGTGGTTGTGAGGGGGGGAAGCAGAGAGAACCATCTACATTCCCTCAGCACTTTCTTGGAGTAAGATGGGATATATATGTATTTGACACAAATTGTTGCAGAAGCCACCAAGTCAATTTCCCTGTCCGCCCATGGAAAGATTTTGAGCCCTGCTGGTGACTATTCAGCTGGAATGACAAAGCACCCTTAAGGGCACCTTGCTCCTAAAACATGTTTTGCTTGAAAATAAAAGCCCTCTTCAGGTGTTGTCTTAACACATTGCACTCTGGCTCAGGGAGGGCAGCAAGAGAACCAATGTGATGTAATGGTTAGAGTGTTGGACTAGGACCTGGGAGAACAGGGTTTGAATCCCCATTCAGCCACGATGCTCACTGGGTGACCTTGGGCCAGCTGCCATCTCTTAGCCTAACCAACCTCACAGGTTTGTTGTGCAGATGCAATGCGGAGGAGGAGAACCATGTGCACCACTCTGAGATCACTGGAAGATAAGGTTCGTATATAAATTAATAAATAAATAAAATAATAAGAATGGTGAATGGCCCTCTCTCACATGTTTTACTAAGCAGGGCACCAGAACACCTGAAGATGGTTTTAGTCCCATTAATTTCCAGTGCATTCAGGACAACTGATGTTATGTACTGAAGTTCTCACCCTGGGCCAGCAGGGGGATACTGTAGATAGTTATGCAAATAAGGGATCGAAAGTGACGTTCAGTGATTGGGTAGTTTTAGAAAATTGTTACAGTTACATTGTACTGGAGCTCTATATAAGCAGGCTGACTGAACCCTTCAGTTCAGTTCTGTTCTGGCCTGTGAATAAACAAGAGCTGTTTGAAGAATCGCTGTGTCGTCTGATATGTTCACCCACAACTTAACAACTGATATGATGCGAGGAAACTATAAAGGTCCCTAGGAGGCCTTGTAGAAGTCTCTCTCTCTCTCTCTCTCTCTCTCTCTCTCTCTCTCTCAGCCTTACCTGCCTTACATTGCTAAGAGAAAGATGACACTCTTAAAGTGCTCTGAAAGGGCTAAAGAAGGAAAGAAGAACAATAACAATATTTCCAAATGTGCTTAGGGACTGCAGCTATTGGTTGAGCTTGAATTGTATTCATCTCAAGAGCAAAATGGTGGCACCTGTTCGCTGCAACTACACTGCTGCTGGCCCTGCTATGGCATTGTGAGAGGGACTTACATGCGCAGAGCATTCCGGAATCAGGCATAATTCCAAAAGGTCCACTTCTCACAATTATTTAACAAGATATGGAAAGGATCAGCCATAGGAGGTACACAACAGGTTTACAGCAAAGTGGGTTACTGTTGAATTTCATTTTTGTACATCATCTCAAAAGCTGCAAGCGAACATACCTATTGAAAGAAAAAGGCGCTTCAAAACCCTGGTGACTCAAGAGGCACAACTGAACGATTATGAGTCAGTGATTTATGATAGCTAAAATAAAGCAAGCTAAATATGCAAGCTTCCCACTATTATTCCCGAAATGATCGCATGCAGCTGTTCAACCAGGAAGCTTCTCTCTGACCAAGCCAGCAGGAACTATTACAGCCATTCTTGTTCAGCTTGAAGCTTTTATATCTCAAAGCTGATGAAACATTTCTGAAAGTTCCATCGCATGTGGTTTCTTTTTCCCAGGCCCAGAGACTGCCCACGTTTCACTATTGATTCCAGCCACGCACTCCTTAGAAGTCTCAACTTCCGAGTTCAGTGGGATTTCTTCCTTACATAAAGAATCAGAATTTGATTAAAAATAGCTGGCAGAGGAAAGACATTGCCACAGGGGAA